AGAGAGGCAGGGAGCAGCCAGGGAGGGAGGACAAGGGACTGGAGGGAAACGCTTGCAGGTTGGGGGGAGATGGCATGCAGGTCCTTGTCACTTTGCTAACTATTTATCAGCATCAAGCAAGATTTGGAAACTCCAAATGAGGAACTGGGGATTCCTCGGGAGATCTAGAGTGCTCACTTTATTTCACGAAGTGAGAAACTGAGGCTCTGAGATACTGAGGTGCACACAAAGCTTCTAAGACTAAGCTAGGTGGTCAATCAAAACACCACAGGGGAGTCTCCAAAAGCAAACCCTTATAATGGCTGATAGGTCCCCTCTGAGGGTAGCAGGCTTCCAGCTCTGGCTCAGGATATATTACCAAGCACAACCCCTTTTGGGGACCCCTCACATTTTGTCTGACTAATTTGACCGTTACCATCCCTCCTTCAGCTTTTATCAGTAGCCTGTCTGTGTTTTATGACGCAGTGGCTGAGAACAGAATTCCCAGTTCTGCTGAGCAGGCCTCCCCGGCTGGTGCCCGCTGGGCAGTTATCACTGTACTGATACCAGCGCTTTTAACTGAAACCCCGGGTCTGGTGTGTGTTATATTTCTAAAAGGAGGAAAAGGACAAGATAATTCCTACTTTGTGAGGGGACGCAGCCTGAATTGCCCAAGAGGTCTTGTGGGTGGTGTTTGTTTTAATAAGCAACTTCTTATGTGTTGGGGGATGAGGGCTGGGGGTGGGAAAGTGGGAAAGGGAAGTCCCCAGGGTGTTGCATAATAGCACCCTGGCACCTTGGGAATACTTCCGGATGTGTGGGCTTCTGAAAAGTGAATGGGAATGTCCTCATAAATCTGTCACCCGCCCTCATGCTGGTGTTACTGACCCAGGGAAAACGGCCCTTCTAAGTGGCCAGTGATGAGGACCCATGGCAAAGAAGAGGAGGAGGAGGAGAGGAAGGAGGGGGAAAGAAGGAGAAAAGAAAGGCAGGCAGTGGAAGGAAGCCAGAGAGGGAGGAAGGGAGAAAGCAAGTCATTCGTGTGGCAAGACAGAGTGGCCCAGTAGAAAAACCAGGGCTCTCTACTCGGTGTGTTGATGGGATCACGCCTCTGTGAGCCCTGTGAACTTGAGCCATCACAAAGGGTCTCTCAGAGCTCACATCTGGAAATGAGGCTCACATTAACCCAGAATGCATAATGCAGGGCTACTACCTAGCTACCCCCAAACTGTGGTTGTTTCTGATGATCCCTTCCCCTATCAACAATCACCCCACCTCACCCTGCCCAAATACACATTGTACACATCCAACTTGCCAGGAATGGAGCGAAACGACACAGTATCTAATGAGGACAATTTTCAGTCAGGATCTAAATAACAATCAACAGAAACTAACTTTGGATAACTTAAGCAAAGCGAGCTAAAAACTTCTATTCAAAATAATATTTGATGCTTATGGAAGACTCATTGGGAGGGGGCTGGAGAGCCAGGATTGTATATCTGAAGCCAAGTCCAAGCTAGAGATTTAGTCCTAGAATTGGTCCGGCGAAGGGATCCAAGGCTGCTGCTCTGTCTACCTCCACTTGGACATTGACAGAAGCTATCCCTGGTACTTTGGGAACTGTCATGGGTGTGGCCATTCCCTCCATGGTCATCCAAATGGTTTCTGCAGGGTCCCTATGTGATATCACCCTAGCTTCCAATTCCAAGTGTTGGGCTGCTGTGTCTGTTGTAGAGCAGAAGGAAAGCCCAGGCTGTGTGTCTATGTTCAAGCAACAAAGGTGTCCAGGAGCAGGAGAAGATTGGATTTCAACTTCTCTGGTGAGGGTTGGAGGAGAGTTATGAGCAATTCATGTAATACAAAGATTGGGAGGATAATTCCCTGAATCTAGGAAGGAAATTTAGATAGTAAGCATTCAAAAATATTGGTAAATATCTTCCCCAGATGGTTCCTAGAACTTTCATGTTTTTTTGGAAGAGAACATGGAGGCTTAGCCAAGGTCACACATCCAAGCCATGGTGTTTCACGCAATCCTGTCCGACTACTGTCATTAATACGTTAATGATGAGCACAATGTCCACGTTGGCAAAGCCTCGCACTTCAGTTCTACTGCTCTGACTCACCCCTAAAGCTAGATCTTCTGGGAGTCAGTCCCTGTCTATCCTTCAGCTGTTCCTTTTAGAGGAACAAAGTTTTCTAGACTCAAGATACGGAGTTTGTCCTTAGAGCGTAGTCCCCGAGAGCTGGAATCTCTGGATGAACTCCACTCTGCCTGGAGAGTATCCATAATGAGATTCCAATGGCCAGTGAAGGGTACAGCGAGGTGCTTCCTCTGCCACAAATGGCCCTCAGTATACAGGGGTAAGAAAGAACCTTCCCTGGACAACATCCATGCCACTGCCCATTTTGTATTACCTTGCACTAGTTTGCTACAAGAATTGCTCACAACACCTAAAGCCCCGCAAGATCAGGAGCTATCGTTTTTTTGCAACTAGCTTACAGAGGGTGCTCTGGGCCCAGATGCTCAGGGTTTCAGACGACTTCTACCATTTAACTCTATAGCCTTAGTTTATCACACGGTATCTCCACATACATTTTGGAAAAACAGTGCATGAATGAGTTGTCATAAGAGTAAGAGTTTAAATGTGCTTGGAATGTAACAGATGTTCAGTAAATATGGTCAGTAGCAGCAGAACACTAGAACCTATTAGAGAATAAAAAGCTATAAAATGACCTAAGAGGGTCCTGGTCTCATCCTCTTGGTCACTCCCTTGTCTTCATCTCTTTCCTCGGAATTTCAGTTAACACAGTTTGAAGAACACTGATCTAGTCCAAAAGAGTCACTTTGGCCAAAGTGTAGCAGGGCAGATGAGGTACAAGGAAGCAAAAAATCCTGGGATGAGACCCAAGATCCGGCGCTCTTCCCACCAGATTCCTCCAGTCCCCACCACTGTGCATGCAAAATGCTGTGACTTTTCTAACAAATGGTGAGTGATGTCCTAATTTTCATCTACCTTGTACATCAGGCTGCAATGACCACATCCATGGACCAGGGGTTGACACATGGTAAAGGGCCAGACAGTGAATATTTTGGGCTCCTTGAGTCACCTGTTGAAACCATTCACCTCTGTTATAGCATGAAAGCAGCCACAGACCACATGGAAATAAACAAGTGTCGCTACTTTCCAATGAAATTTTATTTACAAATACAGGCAGTTGTTTGGTTCTTGCCTGTGGATCATAGTTTGCAAGAATATTTCTTGTTTTCGTGTATTGTTGGGAAGGGCAGTTCTAAAGCAACATGGTAGGGAAATCAGGGCTCCAGTACCTCTTTATAGCACCATATCTGACTTCACTGCTTCCTGCCTTCTTTCCAGAACCTCTTAAGTTACATGTCACATTGGAGTGAGTGACATGGGTCAATATTTTCCAGCATGGGCTAGGAGTAGTTGGTTGTCATGACAGTAAAGGTGAGGGTTTGCTTCTAGTAGATCTCATGATTATGAGGAACTCAGCCCCACACGTTGGAAGCCACACCACAGAAGTACATTCAGGTTCTTAGAGACCTCCTAACCCAACCATCTGCATGTACCAGAGGTAAATTGAGGCCTCCTAGAGAAGCCACTTGGCCAGCATTATACCAATTCTTCCCACAGCTAGGACCAGAACCTGATATATTTTGAATTTCAATCCAAAGTTCTTTCTGTCACATACTAAGCGAGCATCAGGCTTTATTACTATGAACCATTGTCTAGTCAAGAGAGAAGAGAAAAACAGTCTTCTCCAATTTCCTAGCCCAAGGCCCTGCCTCGAAGCTTCTCTGTCTTTCCTTCTTCTCTGTCTTCCCCTTTTTTTCAACCACAAATGTTTGCAGAACATCTTTCTTGTGTTGCTCAGCCCCTACTTGGTGCCAAGCAGATAGTAGGTGCTCAATAAATGTGTGTTGGGAACAGAACAAAAGGTTGCATGTTTTTCACCCCCAGGGCAGGCAATCTACTGGGAGAAAGAATGTCTAAACACCCCTGTAATGCGCTGCAGATGCAAGGATGTGATGACATCTCCTTCCCTTTTCGTCCTCCTAGAAAACTGCCTTTCAGTGAGAAATCTTCCCACCGAGGTTTTCATCCCCTCTGTAGCTGCCCCTTCCTTTTTCAGATAGAGCACCTCTGTCTTTTGTACTTGCAAATGAATTGTGATTAGTTTTCACCTCCAGCCCAGGGGATTAGCTGGGGGACCTTTGATCTTCAGGTATCGATTTGCATCTTAAAGGAAGTATGATCTCATCTGGGCCAGCTCAAAATTCCATCCCTGCCCCCAACCCCTGTCTGTTTAGCAGCCCCAGGCTGGCCAGGGCCTCCCAAGTGGGGCTGAAACAACAGGATAGGCCAGACTCTGCAAGAAGGCAGAGGAAAACACGTTCCCCATCTGACTCTGTAAAGGTGGGAAAAGGACATTTGCTTTCTAAACACAGACTGGTCTGCTCTATCTCCTCCTTCAGATCAGAGAGACTTCCCCAGGGTTCTAAGTCTGCATCCAGGACCCTGGCAACTCCTGGATCCTGGCTAGAGGATGTGCAGCAAAATGATCCAAGTACAAACTTGAGAATCGAACAAAATCAGGTTCAAGTCTGGGTTCTGCCTTCAATCCTTCTGACCTGGCCAAGTTTTATCAACTCCCTGACTTTTGATTCTTGTCATCTTCAAAGACAAAAAGCCCTACATATCTATAGTAATAGCCATTCTGAACAGGTGGTGTGAAGAAAAGCAATAGCATTTGTAAAGTAGAGTCTGATAGAAATCAATTACCTGTCATTATCTATGAGAGCCTAAGTTCTTGATGGTAGGAATATTTGCACTTTATTTTGCATTCCCCCTGCCCCCCACTGATGTATTCCCTGGTGCCTGACACATAGGAGGCACTCAATAAACGTGTAAAACCAAGGGGCAAATCATCATTTAGTCAAAGTCATTGTTACCCTTTTAAAGACCAATCAGCCAGGCCCAGAGACATGGCAGACTTACCAATGCAATTGAAGGAGATTTCTTGCTGGCAGAACAGGGAGCAGCCGTCACCATTGATCTTATTCATATCGTCACATTCTTCACCTTGGTCTCTGCACAGTGGATATAGGAGAGAAATTTTCCAGATCAGTTTCTGAACGAAGGCTGGGCTGCAAAAGTCCCCTCGCCCCATGGCCCATGAAGCTTCTGGGGACCTCTCCCATGTCCCTTTTCTTACTTGAGTCCATTTCTTCATCTTCAAATGAAGGTGATAAAAGGTATAGAGGTAGAAAATACGATTACATTTGCCTCATTTTGTGTTTGAGAGGATGAAGCAGAATTTCTGCTTCAAAGTTATCCTTTGAAATCTTGTCAGTTAAATTCAAAAGTCAGCTGGGAGTCAGAAATGGATGAAGAAGTGAATGAATACGTGCACAGATCTCTTGTTCCCACGGTGTCTAGGAACATCTTACTGCTATTCTTGCATTTCTGATTTCTAAAGAGTGGATGTGAGGGGAGTGGAGGTCCCCGTAATGTCAAAGCTTCTCCTCCACTCCTTCCGGGTGTTTCATTCACACATTCATGGTCGTCACCCTTTCTCTGGAAAGTTTTATTTTCTTCACTGGGTGTGTCATTGCATGGTGTCAAGATCTCAGAGGCCTGTGGGACTGTGCTGTGAAGGAATAAAAATGCCCCCTCTTTTTATTCTCTTGGAATTATTTCATCACCTTAGGATGATTTTGCAGAGGTTGGGACAGGCAGAAAATGAGCAGCATTCATTTTTCTGAATTGGGCTAAGGTGGGGAGAAGGAGGAGCCAAAACAGAGAGGCTGGGTGAATTTTTGTTTTCTGCAAAGTTCCCATCCTTTTAGAGACAGAAAACTTGGGTTGAATCCCTGTGCTCCACACTAACTGTCCATTCTTATGTAAGTGGTTTGGCCTCTCTATCTGATCTTTCTGTGATGACTTAACTTTAAATCCATTAAAAGTTAATATGATTAAAATCCTATTCCTCCATCATGGTAGACACATAGCAAGTATGCTATAGCTGCACATGGCTGGTCGCCAGTGTTGGATAGCACCGAATACTTCCATCGTTGCAGAACAATCCATTGGACAGTGATTCTCAGATGTTACCTCTCAGTTTTCTCCTGTGTTCCATGGAGATGATCTGCATATTCGGTAGAGTTGGGTTCCAAAACGGAAGGAAAGGGCTGGCACAGTGTGTGGCATACTGTGGATGCTCAGGAAATCACAGTTCCCATTCGAACTTTGCCTTGGGAGGTCTCTGCAGAGGGTGGGCAATAGGCTCTCCCTCCCCAGAGACCAGCTGGGACCTGTCACAGGATGGAAGAGGCCTCAGACTTTTCCTTTTACCCGGGCAATTAACACCAGGCTATGTTTGTTGTTTTTAGGAGGTGTCAGGGTAGCAAGACAGTGCCTTGCAATCAATCCTTAAGATGGCCTAGGACATTGCATTGATCTCCAAAGAGCCACCCAGGTTCTCTCCTGTCTGCAAACCCATGAGCAAAGAAGTTCATATTCCTAGACAGTCCCAGCAATCCGTGTGTGAATCTTGCAGCTTGGAAATTGCTGGTGACCTGCTACTCAGCTATTTCTTGGGTTATCTGGGGAGATACACAATTTTTTTAAACCTGGGTTATGCTATAAATAAGAATATTTCCAATACTTCCATTACCACCCAATTGGCATGTTCTATTGTTTTAAACAAAACATTAGGGTCACCAGGAATATTTTCTAGGCATGATAGATCTCTCATTAGATAGAAGAGTTCTGAGAAACCTTCTTTGATCTCTCAGGCTGGAGTTCGTGGCTGCCATTCTCTGTGTTCATAGACATCTTGTTCCATCCACCACAGCAATTGTCAAACTGATGCCTTTGCTTATTAATTGAGAGGCCTCTATAATAGAGTGTGAGATGCCAAAGGGAGCGATAGAGTCTCTGTTATCCTAGTACCCTGGTACCTGCTACAGTGCCTGGGATCTAGCATACAATTCATAGCCACTCCTTTACTATCTAGTTTTTGTAGGGTTTTCATGTTACACAGTAATGAGATGATGAATTCAGACAACCACCTTTGTCCTCAGTTCATATATTGGTTCAATCCATTACTGGGTGGATATGCTTGAGAAAACTGCCTTATTCTCTTTGTGCATTAGTTGTATTTTCTGTAAAATATGCTAATAGGACCTACCTCATATGATTATTGGGAAGACGCAAGAAGATGATAATGTAGCACAATACCTTGTGCATAGTAGAGGCCCAATAAATGTTTATAAGGGTTGTGATTACAGTATCTGTCCAGTGCTTTTGTCTTTTGCTACATAAGGAACCAGAAGAATCTGTTGCTGTGAACATTTACAATCAAGTGTTTGTCCATTGGAGGTGTCATCCAGTGCTGAGTCTACACAGATTTCTATGCAAATTTTCTTACCCATAGCTAGGATGATACCCCTCCTTTTCTCCAATGTTTCTTCCTTCCTTCTTTCCTCCCTTCCTTTCTGCCTTCCTTCTTTTCCTTAAGTGAACATCTCTAAGCTGCATCCAGTTTTATATACTATGTTAAGAAGTATTTGGTATCTGTGGTAAGTTAAGTATTTGATGTGTATAAAAGATACCAATTCTAGGTAAAATTACTATTAATTTATGAATATTATGTAAAATTAATGATGGTGATAACATTTTCAGATCAGCAAGAAGAATGACATTGTTTGCAGTGTTTTATCAATGTATCTATATTTGCTTCCAAAATGGACAGACTAATGTAGCTTAGAATTCCAACTCTGGTGAGTTCCTTTTTAAAACTTATTTTAGCTAAATTAGCATGCCCCCCCCCAAAAAAAAAAAAAAAAAACAATTGTGGGTATTGAACCCAGGATTTTGCATAGGCTAGACAAGTGCTCTACCGCTGAGCTACATCCCCAGTCCTTGGATATAGATCTGAAATACCCATAATACGTCATGGAGTTGCATCATGGGGTTTTATCATGGGATGAGAAACTTTATAATCTATGCTCAAACTCTTGGCAGTTAGGTGATTTGTATCACAACTAAATACTTAAAAATGCTTACATTATCTCCTCACTATTTGTCAATTCTGTTTTGGAATTATACCTATAAGGACATCCAAGACATAAATATATATTCCTGAAAGATACTGCTTCAGCAAGCCACTTGAAATCATGCAAATAATTGTTACTGGCCTTATTAGTGCCAATGTATTTTTCTAATGAGAAAAAACATTGATTTTTAATTTTAAAAATTATAGAAATCTTCAGAGATATCAGAGAAAAATTCAGGTAATTCCCCTCTGAAAGGATATAAATTTGGTGTAAATTCATGTTTACTAAATAATTACCTGAGTCTTAAAAATTGAAGAAAGCACAACTTTTATGTAGATCATTTTATCAGAATTACTAAAATACATCTTGGATGTTTACAATTTGTATTTGGTCCAGCAAATGGGCTTTAAAATGTTTTGTTCAGACAAAATGTGAACTTCATTTGCTTTAAAACATGAGACAGAAATATATTTAAGGTATTAAAATGTAATTCTTTATTTCAAAACCTTGAGTTAGTACCTCTCCATTAACCTTTGATATGCTTCAATGGTGGGGAGGCAGAATGTAGCACACTCCCACCTTTATGCAAAGTAAGTTGAAAGATGTCACTCATCTGATTGTGTTTGCAGTAGTCGGTACTTCATTACTCAGTCATGAACACAAAGCATTCTGCTGGCCAACAACCATGTCTATGTGCCACTTGTGTACCAACTCTTCTTATTTGCAGAGCTGTGGCATTTTTGCTCTACTCCTAACTGGTCCTTTCATCCCAATACAGGCTTCCAGTTGACATCACATATGACATGATCATCCGTAACACATGAAATTGCCCCTCTCCTTGCAGCATCCGTGCTGTGCTACTGACTAACAGGGTCATCCAGAACTTCTCTTTCATGCATGTACTGTACCTATGAGCTGATGCATGTTCTGCACATCAGTAGTTTCTTCCAACTGTGAAGCAAATGCTCTCTCTCACTGCCCCTCCCTCTACAGCGATAGCAATTGCAATTCCATGTTACACGGATATGATGTGACACCCAACAGTGCCATTTAATGAAGGAATTTTGCCAGTAGCTTGTTTCGCCATCTCTGCATATAATGTTTATCATTAAATCTGTCAATAGTTTTAAAAGTCTCAGTGATTTTGTGACTTGCAAATAAATAGGTTAGCAATAAGGACCATAATTTTTGCAACAAGAAATTTAATTTTGAATTATTGTTGGTCTCTAGTCCACCTCTAGGGATAAAACTCTCAATTTTGTTCCAGAAAAGATTTTTGTGCTTATTCTGGAAAGAAAAGTATCAGAAGCTTTATTTATTGATTTTTTTAAATAATGCAAATTTCTTGATGGCTTCTTGCCCCTATTTGGTAGTTGTGTCACATCTTGCCCTGAGAGCAACAGGATGAATGAACTGATAATCTCATGAAATTCATTTCTTAGATGCATGTCTGTGTATTTTCTAATCATAATTTCAGTTTGGGGTGAAATCTTTACTCTCATTGATTAATTTCCTTTGGTGTACTCATATCAAATTTAATATTCACTTTAGAACCTCTTTTGCTATTTATGTTTCAATATTACACTTTGCTATTTTTATAAGCCTTTGGACCATTTTCTAAATTTTTGATGTGCAATTTTAACAAATGTAAATGGTAGCCAGCCAGCACAGAATGTAAGCGTGTTTTAATGTAGAATAACTGCATCCCATTAATTGTGTGTGGACAATGACAAAAAATGATGAGTAGAATCCTTGTATCACATATAAAACAATGGAAAATAAGAGCAAAATGGCAGTCAATGTATCCTGGTAGTTCTGTGTAGATCATGTATTCTACAGCATCCTTGAGAAATGCATGTGTTAAAAAAAAAGTCACTGATTTTCTTCCAAGGTCAGCAAATTGCTTGAAGAACAATTGATAGACTGCTGGGGATCACTGGTAACTCAGGACCCAGTATCTTATGAGCTCCTCTGTTCAGCACCCTGACCATCCCTTGGCCTAATCAGCATGCCCCCTCTGTCCTTACTTACTTCTGGATAATGCCATCACCACAGTATCCACTCCCATGGATGTATATGGCAGCAGGTGATGGCTCACTTTCTTCAGTTCCTGAAATGGTGATAACCCGGTACTGGTACATATTGCCAAGTTCTAGATCCCTAGAAAATGCAAAGAAGATGATTACAAATATAAAAGTGGGGGCAGACAGGCAGAGAATGAAAAGTGAATTCTTGTGTGTATTTTATCAGTCATTTTCATTTTAAAAATCAAATGCACATTTAGTTTTCAATTTTTTTTTTATTATCTACTCAGGTGAAGATCCTCTGCTAAGCATCATGAACTGCACCAAAAATGTACACTAGCATCAATTGACTGATGGCCACGTACAGAGTAGGTGCTTTTTTTCTTTAATTTAAATTTCACAACAACCCTGGTAGAAAAGTATCAGATAACATGTGGTCCAATAATGAAAGCATTTGGGAGAAAGCCATCAAGGAAAAAATAAATACAATAATCAAAATTATAGATGTGATAAAATATCCTAACAGAATCTCTGGGCACTATCTGATCATTTTCTCCCATTTTAAGACCCACACAGAAACCTCATTATGTCTGTACAAACCCCTTCTTCATGCTGCATTTACAGTGACTCCATCCTCCCCACCACCTGAGCCTCCCTAGTCTCTCTTGACTGAAATAATAATGGTAGCATCCATTAATTGAATTTTGGCCCTAGGCTAAGCATTTTTCTATTTATTTTCTCATTTGAGAATCAAAACAGCCCTAGCATTTTCATATTGACTTCACAGATGATCAACCTGAGACATAGAGAGGCTAAGCAACTTATAACCACAATGCTATTGAGTAAGATCCTACACTCTGTCTCCCTAGTTGGAGCCTGACTTAGTAATCTCATCCCTTGCAAAGCTTTGTCTTGTCCTGGTATTGAAATTCCAGAGGCTGGTTTCTGCCAGATTTCCAATAGGCCAAGACTACATATCTCCTCTGACCTCGAGACCTTGGGGTGCCTGTCTTTAACTTCTCCACAAAGGAAACACCAAACAAACCCAGCTATTACCAATTATCCTCCAAGACAAATACATGTTTATGTCAATTCCACACACAACTAAATCTCCACTCTTGTTTACCTTTTGGTCATTTTCAAAGGGGGATGTTATTCTAGTTTTCCATCTCTCTCTCTCTGAACCCATTATTCATCTTAATAACAAAAAGTACCATGGGAAAAAAAAAACACTAAATGATTATGAAGAGAATTCCTATCAGATTCCACACTTGAGGAGGTGGATTTTATAAACAAAAGGACAATGTCAAAAAAACCTTCAAGTTCTCCTGCTCATCTGTTATTTCAGCTGCTCTTAGGGCTGGGGCTGTTTGGATAAGGTCAATAAGATAACAGGTGCAAGGGGCCACAGACACAGGTCTCCTGATTCTCACTGCAACAGTGAGTAAGTTGGAGTTTAGGAGCAATGAAGGATTCTGTTGAGGAACAGAATGACAGATGAATTATGCTCCCCCGCAAACAAGTTAATATTAGCAGCCCTCGAGCTGCTACTAATTTTGAAGGTAGACCAGAAGTTCCTAGAGATTCTGTCAATTTGTTGTCAATTATAACTAAGTGGGCAATGGCATAAAAATCTTTACATATATATAATTATTGTATTGTAAACCCTTAGAGTGATAATTTGTTGACAGAATTATAGATTTTACATTTTTAAAGATTATTGTCTATTTTATTCACATCTAGGCTAATGAATATATGCCTTTTTCTGGTGATTCTCAAAAACTGAAGTAGGATGGGGGAGAAAGTGATAATCTTGGGGATACCCAAAGGCACAAAATAAATATGCCATACATTCTATGACACTTTCATTTTGCTCGAAAATACTGGGTCATGTTTGATGCTAAAAGAATACGGCTATATTATGGAATAGAATAAGAAATTTGCTTCAGGCTACATCTCAGGCCATTTGGGGGCACACGGTCTCTGCTGAGCAGATGGGGCGCTGCTGTAGAAAGCCTGCCAGTGTGAAAAGTATTTCTCTATATCGTTTTTCACTGGTGATGTGTGTCACAAATGATTTGTGGCTAATAATATTTAAGGTAGTGGGCTAATCTTTGTGAATGTTTTCCTTCTCCTCCCTAGGCTAGTCCTCCTTTCTCAATAAATACCAACTTCCTCCTCCTTCTCAATAAACACCAACATAGAGACAAGCAAACACATGTTTGAGTCCTGGCTTCATCTTTTTCACCAGGAAGTCACTGGCAGGTGTTTTACCTCTCTGAGCCTACTTCAAATCAATCATAAACCTGACCTCACATCATTTTCCTACAGGTTGAAGGTGAGAACAGATATAAAACACATATGTTCCCAGCCTATGATAAACAGTAAGTGTTAACCTATTGTTATCAATGTTGAATTATCAACATTCTCATTCATTGGAGTTATGCTATAGTCTCTTTAATAGAAGAGATGGAATGACAGATAACTGCTTGTAACTTTGCTTAGGTAAACTCACGAATACAGGACCACCAGCTAACATGTGGGCCACAGCTTGACGAACAATCTCTTTTCCACCACATCATCTGACTAGGGAATGGCTTACTCTTTTTCTGGGTGACCCATTCCAAGTTTTTAAGATTCTGGATCTCAGCATTATCTTTACCCTGGGGTCAACTGTATCCTTATCAGCAGCACATAGGACCCATCAGATTGGTAGAGGACTTTAATGACCCTCCTTCCTCCAACTGGGTTTGCAAGGCTCATGTATCATTATCTCACTGAAGACTGACAACAGCTGCTGGGGAGGCAAGGACTGTTATCCTAAGTTTTCTGGTAGGAAAACAGAAGTCCAAGTCACTTTTTCAGCAAACAGTAGAGGAAAGAGGACAGGTGCAACTCCTATTAAAATGATTATGTCTTGCTACCCAAAAATTCCTGTGTTGAAAGTACATTTTTCTCCCACATAAAGTCAAAATTAATGCTAAACATGGGCTCCTTTGTCAAGAACCCGATGGAATAGAATTTTTGATGGAATATAATTTTTTCAGAGGGACAAACTAGCAGCCTCTGAGGACTTTGCCAGAGGTTAGAACCTGTTTTATGGTTGGTCTAAAAGTAGGACATTTATGTCAAGTCGTTCCTTTCAGCGGCTTCTGAAACCATCTGGAAAGCCTTACACTACCATTGAACTCCTTCCCTGCCTGCACCTTCCGTCTCCAGGTGGACCTGCATCTGCCCGAGAAGGCTTTCTCATCTGCTTTTCTACATTCCTGCTGCCATAAGCACCCCAACTTTGATGGCTGAAACAGCCTCTGGCTTGCTTCCTACTTATCCTGTCTTCCTTCCCCAGTCTTACCAACACTGTCAGGATATTCTTAGATCCAAAGGCACTATCCAGCTCAAAACCTTTTCTTTTAGTGCAGCAATGGGAACTTGCCACTAAGCAGAAACCTCCCATTTACTATTTCTTTGCAACTAAAACTTCAGCACTTCACCTGAGATGTGATTAGTTTGGCTACTTCTGATATCTGTCATAGCACTTAGAATGCGATTTTTAAGTTTCTGTCTCTTTCTTTTAAAATCTTAATAGTTAATTATTAATGCTTGATTACCAATTTTCGAACTGCTTCTCAGATTAATTTCATGTTTCTAACTAACAAATTTAAATGCAATGAGTTGTTTGGCTGGTGTTAATAGGTTGTTTTGTTTTTTTCACACACACACACACACAAAAAAAAACCTTTTTGCAGCATTTAGCCATCATTCTTTCACAAATATCTCAAACAAAACATCTGCCTTAGGTTTGCATTTCTGATCATTAGAAAAAAAATGCTGGTATTCCTCATTGATATGATTTCCTCAATATTCCTCCTCAGAAATGTCATATTGATGGCAAGTCTATATCAAATTTGGTGCACAATCTTATGCTAAAAATTAGTTGCAGATTATGAAATCATTATCTTAAGAATATTAAAAGTACATAAAGTAACTACACACCTGTGACTTAAGCTTAAATCTTTATTTAAGTGAATATTTAAACTTTTGGCATATACCTAATATTATAATATTGTCAATTAAAACCTATGTGAAATCTATAGGTTTAATTAACCTCAATTCTTTGGGTCTCTTTTTCTATCTTTTAATTCAGATATGATTCTTGTCCATGTTGCTATGAAGATAAAATAAAAAACACTTAAGTCCTGTAGGAGTAAGCGAGAGAGCTTCATACACTATGGGAGCATGCATTTGTTTCTTTCAGGAACCTATGTGAGTTCCTTGATTACTCTTTATTGATCCCCTGTTGTCTCCATATCACAGTATTCATTTATCATAAGCCATTTCCCAAAGCAGTCTCTCCGTCTACATTGTGTTACCTCTTTAACACTCCATCTTCTGGAATAGTAATTGCAAACATAGTTTTGATTTGTCATATGTCTTAATACTATGCCTTATACTTACTATGCATAATTTCAATCAAAATGACAATCCCTTGAATAATTATTATTGTTTCTCCTTTGTTAGGTGAGGAAACTAACACGTAGGGAGATTATGCTATGTGTCCTTGCAAGCTATACACCTTGCTTTAATCATGGGTAGAGACTTGATCCAAGGCTAACTCCTTCCCCAGACAGTGCTTTTCAGACGCCCCAGCTGTTATGAACTGGGAAATACAGAAGACTAGAAATCAAAAGCCCTAGTTTTGAAATGAGAAGAGTTTACATACAAAAAGCACTTGGAAACATCTCAAAGTCAGGAAACACAAGTTTTCTGTTAACTACTACCACTGACCCAATGACCATACACAAGCCATTCCCTGTCTCCAACCATCGATTTCTTCATTTATGAAATGGGAATTGGAGAATGGTGTGATGCTTAGCTTTGCAATCCATAGTTCTAATTGAATGAGGAATGTAGTCTTGTATCTTTCTGTCATGAACTTTTCTGCAGGCCAGAAGCTGCCTAGCTGTTAAAATTCTGCACTAAGAATGGGCGTAGGTCAGAACCTACCACCCAGATTGTCTGAGCTAGGAGACATAGTGGAGAGACCACCTAGGATGCCTCTGGCTCAGGAAGAGCCTGAGTATTCCAGTCCACCCTTGGGCTAAGAATCAGAGGGTAATGCCTGGGCACTCGGCA